GTGGATGCGCATGGGCTACCGCCTGATTCCCGTCGTATTTCACCAGCGCAACTGACCCTGAACCAATTTGAGTGTTGGAAGAGTACATCTGCAAGGCAAATGCTATTTCTAGCCATTCTCCATTACTATTAGCCGAGGAGGACATCTCTACATTTGAAGTGCTTGCGGTGTGAGCTTCTCTTAGCGGATGATTCCAGGTCAGTTGTTGCGTCCCGGTGACAATATAGACACTCTTTCCATTTGCATCGACGTGCCCGCAGTCATTACCGGCGTATATAAGCAGCGGCAGCACCATGACTCTGGTATTATTGCTACTCCTGTTTCACTGACTCTATAATGGAATTTGCTCTGCTTTGACATTTCTATCAGTGACTCTGTTCCCCGCTCTCGCCCACCACCAGTCCCCAGCACTTGCCGGCTTTAATTAAGCTCAAATCAAATTACTCATCTTGTGTTTAAGGCTTAATTTGTATGTTTTGCAGAAATCCTATTCGGGTGTCACGGCATGGATAATCTGGCCATGGATCACATGTACAGCAAACTCTGCGTAGCTGTGTGTGGATCTTTTCCTCCCTCAAGTGGGAACTTTTTAACATCCAATCTCTGCTGGTTAATAACGCCCTATTCACACGGGGATTCAGCGTCAGTGCTTGATTGAAGACGTGTCTGAAGTTGGGGCTAAAGCAATCGTCATAGCAGCGTCAGCCAATGAAATTCAGTCAGCAATAGGCTACGTTCTAGCTGGTGTAGTTGCATACAGTGATCTGATTGGCTGACGCTTCGGTGCTTGAAAAGTTGAGCTAGCCCAACTTCTGCAGCAAGTGGCGCCGACGTATCCACAATGCAGTTCGACAACGCTTGACGCCACCCATTCAAAGTGAATGGTAAGCGTTGACGCTGACCGATAGGCAGCTATGATGCTTTAAATGAATACTTGAACATGGAAATGAAAGGTCCCTACATTCAAAATGCTGGTTTAATTTTTTATTCCTGTCAAGACCTGTTTTTAATACTTGGTGAAATACTTGGGTTGTGAAGAGTCTGTGTTAAGGCTATTTTAGTAACGAAAATTAGGACTGTGTGTCCGAAAAAAAAAAAATGTGTTATCGGAAATGTAATAAATAATTAAAAATAAATGAAAAGATAAAATGAAATGAAACTAGCATCAGTCGCTGAAAAACTCATTGAAATAAAGTAAGTACAATGTTAAAGTAAGTACAATTTTATGTACAATGTATATACTGTAAATGTTATTTTTCTTAAAACTCTACTATTTTTTATATTTTTTATATTAATGTTAAGCACCTTGGGTCTGAGAGTAACGCAATTTCGATTCTCTATATGTCTTGTACATGTGGCTGAATTGACAATAAAGCTGACTTTGACTTGACTTTGGTAAGTAGCCAAAATAAATAATTATTTATTCATGTCTCATCATGTTCTGGAGACAGAAACCGCCTGACCAGTTGATCGAAAAGAGAAAACAAAAGACAAAACCATGCTGTGAAACTGATAATTTGCATTACTTTGTAGACAGACAGGGTTTAGGAAAACCAAGACATAATAAGGTCCGTCACACCCTAAAAACAACTTTTCACTTATATATATATATAGATGATATATATTTATATTTCCACAGTGTCAAATCTTGCTTTTTCTGTTCAGGTGATCTCATATAGCCTCTATAATATTCAGGTCTGGACCCTGTGGAGACCATTTCATGACTGCCTGACTGTTTTCTTTCTCTAAACAGGATTTCACTGCAATTAGCGGATCATTATCATGATGAAAATGAAACCCATTCCCACTTAAGTCCTTTCCAGAAGGAATGGCGTAATGGATTAAAACCTATCTGTACTTTTCAACATTCACAATTCCATCAATTCAGACAATATTGCTAAAAACTGCTAGAATAATATTGCTAACACTGGTAGAAATGCAGCTCAAACCACAACAAATAGCCACTCTCCAACATTGTCTTTCAGATGTCTGAATTAAAACTCTAAACCAGGGGTGGCCAATCCTGTTCCTGGAGATCTACCTTCCTGCAGATTTCAGTTGCAACCCTTATCAAACACACCTGTCTGTAATAATCAAGTAGATTTCAGGTCCTAATTAATTGGTTAGGTGGGTTTGATCAGGGTAGGAGCTAAACTGTACAGGAAGGTAGATCTCCAGGAACAGGATTGAGCACCCCTGCTCTAAACTAACTACCCAACAAACCATACATCAACTGAAAGATAATTTATTCACCCTGTACGAAAATCTCAATTAAAAAAAATTGACAAACCAATTTACACGTAAGGCTGTTTTTGTGGTAAAGGCTCACATATATCCAGTATACCATCAGTAAAACATGGTATAGTTCACAGTTAAGTTTTGCACAGTACTGTAAATCACACCAGGTCAAAAAAGACAGAGTTTATACTTCCATCCTATCCCTCGTTGTCTTTCCAGCAGATCCCATGAAGAGCGTGAAGGCTGGTGGTGGCCTACAACAGCAGGCAGCAGCCATGCTGGATTGTGTTGATTAGCGAGAGGGGCGTATTGTCAAAATCCATTGTGTGTTTGTATGTCACCTGTCTCTTTGCATCTACTCGGTGCCATAAACAACTATGGCGGAACCGGGGGTGAAATACCACAAGTGCTTGCCCGGATTAAACGGCTCTGTCACTAGTGGTGTAAACTTGGATGCGTAGGACTCGAGTGCTATGCGTGACAGTGCGAGTAACAGTTCAGCATGCTCTCTGTTATGCTAATGATTGGGTATTCCACCAGCAAGTCCCCTTGAGGGTCCCTAAAGTAAAACAGGTCCTTGCAAAACTAGGCTTGGCTGCTTGCCGGGAATTGCTCAGTTTTCCGAATCTGTCCTCTGCATTTAAACCATCAAAGTTCTCACAGACTCAGTGAGCAGTGAAAACAAGTATGAACTCATATTGGGGGAGACTCGGGGTGCAGTTAACCCTTTGTAAAGCCTTGTCTTCTTATTGTCTGAGAAGTTTTCAGTATCATTCACAGCACTTGCCTATCAATTTGTGTACTCTCTAGGAAAAGAGTGAGTGATATCTGGTAAGATGACATACTTATTTCAGACAGAAGCAGATATAAAGGTCTACAATATGCATGCAATGTACCCAAGGTAGAAGATTGAAGCTATTGCCTACAAATAAGGTCATGGAAGCTTATATACTTAAAATGTTACATATTGATTCCCTAACAGAGGGGTACCCTGTTCCTGGAGATCTATCTTTCTGCAGAGTTTAGCTTCAACTTTGATTAAACACAACTAAATCAATTAAGCACAGTAAACTCTGCAGGAAGGAACAGGGTTGTGCACTGCCCTAACACAACATTTACACAAGCAAAAGGTGGGGATCTTTAACAAGACAAAGCTATAATGCATCGACGAAATTGTAAGAGACAGTAAAGATTCATTCTTTGTTTATCTTGGTCTCCAGGCTATGTGCAGTTTAAGTTAGCTCATCTTACCTGTCATCTTTAGAATCCTCAGGTAGTTCACTGGTTATTTTTCCATGTCACAAGTCTCTATACACTAAAGTTATGTGGACTGTGTCAGTCCAATAACAGAAAAGATTGATCTTTTTTTTTTTTCTTGAGTCCTCACATTTCGAGTTTTATTCAGCAGTAGTGACCACACTATTGATTGACTATTGACACCATCGTTGATGGTGATCTATTCAGGTGAATAAATCAATGTCATACACATCTCTAGATTTGTGAAAGGATGAAACTGTATATAGCCCAACATTTATGGGTGCCTGCTGTCTTTGTTGAGTCCCATACTACAGGAGTTTTAATTATTGTCAATTATTAATTAACCCCCCCCCCCCCCCCCCAACACACACACACCCCTAAGATTAGTTCATGGATCTCTCTGTTAGCAAGCTGATTATCAGGTGTGTTAAGTAAGAAAGACATACAGAATGTTCAGGGCTGGAGGTCTCGAGGACTGGAATTGGGAACCACTGTCGTACTAGCACTTTTTCCTCTTGTTAATCACCTTTGTTACTCTACTCCGCCATGTTATTCTGATGGTTTTGGTTGTTGGACAAAAAAGCAAAAAAGCGGACAGTGACCGGGGCGCAATATTGACATCATGATTGGCCAGATCGCCTGTCAATCAAACTGTTGTTAAAGGGTAAATTGGGTGTTAAAAATAAGAACTTCTGCTGGAATCAAGCCTACAACCTTTGCGAGACAAATCCAAGTTGGTTCTTCCAGAAACTTGTTAATCCCCAAAGTTACTCTACTTTGCCTTGTTATTCAGACTGAATCCAGAGCACATAATCCTGGCATTATGATTGGCCAGATCACCTGTCAATCAAGCTGCTGATAAAGGGTCAATTGGGGGTTGAAAATAAATACTTCTGCCAGTACCAGAAAGTAAACCAACAACCTTTGCAATACAAATCTAAGTGGGTTCTTCCAGAAACTTGCCAATCCCCAAAGTTACTCTACCTGATTATTCAGACTGTTTTGATTGTCAGACAAAATGGCAGACAGTGATTTGGGGCACACAATATTGGTATTATAAATTGGCCAGATCGTCTTTCAATCAAGCTGCTGATGAAGGGTCAATTGGGTGTTGAAAATTACTTCTTCTAGGACTGGGAATCAAACCAACAACCTTTGCAGTACAAATCTAAGTTAGTTCTTTCAGAAACTTTCCAATCCCCAAAGTTACTCTACTCTGCCTGGTTATTCGGACTGTTTTGTGTGTCGGACGAAATGGCAGACAGTGATCCAAGGCAGACAATATTGGCATTATTATTGGCCAGATCGTCTGTCAATCAAACTGCTGATGGAGGGTCAATTGTGGGTTGAAGATAATCATTTCTATCAGTACTAAAAGTAAACCAACAACCTTTGGAATACAAATCCAAGTTGGTTCTTTCAGAAACTTGCTTGGTTTGAAGTTTCTAGTTGGTTATTGCCATCTTAACATCCACCTCTTACATCTAAACTGTTCTTCCCTACAGAGGACCTACTTCCTCCTGGCTTCCCTAACATTGACATGGGCCCACAACTGAAGGTGGTGGAGCGAACGCGTACTGCTACCATGCTCTGCGCCGCCAGTGGAAACCCTGACCCAGAAATCACCTGGTTCAAAGACTTCCTTCCCATCGACCCCAACACAAGTAACGGCCGAATAAAACAACTCCGATCAGGTAAGACAAACCAATGCAGCTTCCATTTTACTGCTAACATTCTTCTCTTAGTTTTTTGTTGTAGGATTCAGAATCATTCCAGTAGGCCTGCTTCTCAAACAACAGAGTTAGCATTGAGTTAAAATTTGCCAGGGAAGCCGAAATGAAGAGATCATTACTTTATTGAACAGTGTCAGAGGAGGTTAGTCCAGATTATGTAGAAAGTTTCATAGTTTCAGAGTCAAAACACTCAATCAGATGCCAAAAGTGAACATTAAATTATAGTACTATCAGGGTTCCCACGAGTCATGGAATTTCTGGAATGTCATGGAATTTTAAAAGTCCTATTCCAGACATTGGAAAGCAGGGATTTTTACATTAACGTTTTTCTTTAGCGTTTTTTTTTTTTATGTCCTGTTGTTTCACATTTTGCCAATTATAATGGTTTCGCTCTTTTCAGTGCCATGTTATTCCTTTACCAATTTGTCAACCGGCAGTCACACTTAAGGGATAGTTCACCCAATAATGAACATTTCCCTACTGAACAAACAGCTTAAACCAGCCTAGGCTTAAACCAGGCTTGGTTTTTGAGGGGTTTTGACCATTTCCAGACTGGTTTCCAGCCATTTCCAGCCTGGTCTTAGCTGGTCAGGCTGGGAGATAACCAGCTAAGACCAGCTTGACCAGCCTAGCCAGGCTGGGAGCTCAGCCAAAACCAGCTATGTCCAGCTTAAGCTGGTCAAGCTGGTCTTACCTGGATTTCGCTGGTCATTTTCAGGCCTGACCAGCTAAGACCAGGCTGAAAATGCCTGGAAACGAGCCTGAAAATGGCCAAAACCCATCTAAAACCAGGCTGGTCAACCAGCCAACCAGCCAACCAGCCAACCAGCCTAGGCTGGCTTAAGCTGGATTTTTCAGCAGGGTCTGTGGCTGCTTCCTGTTTGCTCGGTTCTCAGCACAACAACTGTTTTTTTTTTTTTTTTTTTTTTTTTTTAATAGGTCATGAAAACTCAGCGTTATATATCAGGGAGAACTCTAGGTTTTGAAGTGGGAACCCTGTAATGCATAGGTCTCAAACTCGATTCCTGGATGGCCGCAGCTCTGCACAGTTTTGACCCAACCCTAATCAAACACAGCTAATCCAACTAATCAAGGTGTTCAAGACTACTAGACAATTAAGCAGATGGGAGTTGGAGGTGGCTGGAGCTAAATTGTGCATAGCTGTGGCCCTTCAGGAATTGAGTTTAAGACCATTGCTGTAATAGATGCTCTCAGAGTGTTGCAAGTGGCCTGTTGAATGATCTGAAAAATAATGGTTAGCATTATTATAACTCAACAGGTTATAGTGCATTAATCCATTTATACTACAGATAAATCCACCATTCAGATGTTATAGTCCAGACATTTGTCAGGTTTTTGTCCCTAATTGTGCGGTTTTTGTTGTAGGGTTCAGTATCATTGCAGGCGCTCTTCTAAAACAACCACCCACAGAGTTAGCATTACAAGTTAAAGTTTGCTAGTGGAGCCGGAATGGAGAGATAATGACTTTTAATGAACAGTGTCAGAAGAGCTTAGTTCAGATTTTGCGGAAAGCGTATGATTAATGTCTGGTTTAGACTAATGAAACTTTATTGAAAGACCCAGTAAAACAGAGTCTAATTATGTATCTCATTAAGTCGAGCGCTCCAGTCGCCCCAAGGCCACCGTTGTGGGTCAGTGATTTGTCAGCGACGGGGAGAAAAGAAAAAATCTATTTGATTCAGAGCTGTTGACGTAAATCGGTATGGGCAGCGGATACTCTGCTAGCAACCTCTGACCTGATCTGGCTTACCCAGCAGTTCCCCTATTCAGGATCCATCACGGGGCATTTTTCTGAAGTTTTCAGGTTCGAGGAAAGTGGTTTAGTGGCGAGCGGCTACATCTGCTCTCGCTAATGCTAGGCTTGAGTGCTTTTGTTTTTGCCCCGTGTTAATGGACGACGCTAAAGGGGGTATCAGAGGTACAGGAACACCTTTGACTTGTCGAGGACAAGGAGAACTAAATAGTATCCTTTTAGCAAGTCACTCGCCACAAGGTTAGCTCTGATAGCTCATTTAGCAAGCTAATTTCACCGGCCTGCTGACAGACATGCAGATTTATCTGATAAATTAGAGGGGTTTTTGGAAGCTAATGCTAAAAACATTTAGCATTTACAATAAGGATGTATTAGCTAGTGCCAACAAGCATTGATTAGATGTTAATAATCCATTAGTAAATGTTGAACTATGAGTTCAGGTATTGTTCGTTATTAATTAATGCTAGTAAATATGTTAACTAATAAAACTTTATTTTAAAGTGTGACCGATTACCCTGCTGAAAAATCCAGCTTAAACCAGCCTAGGCTGGTTGGCTGCTTTTAGCTTGTTGACCAGGCTGGTTTTATAGGGGTTTTGGCAATTTCCAGCCATTTCCAGCCTGGTCTTAGCTGGTCAGGCTGGAAAATGACCAGCTAAATCCAGCTAAACCAGCTTGACCAGCCTGGTTTAAGCTGGACATAGCTGGTTTGGGCTGGGGCTTCCAGCTAAGACCAGGCTGGAAATGGCTGGTAACCAGCCTGGAAATGGCCAAAACCCCTCTAAAACCAGCCTGGTTGACCAGCTTAAACCAGCCAACCAGCCTAGGCTGGTTTAAGCAGTTTTTTTAGTTGGGTCTGACATAATTGTGGGGACTTTTTGAAAGTGTGTATTGCTATGAACATTTAGCATACCTGTCCTGCCTCTGAATGTTTGTTTCTGTCATTTTGTCACTGTGTGTGTGTGTGTGTGTGTGTGTGTGTGAATGCGTCATACATGTTGTTTATCTCTTGTTCGTCTCTGTCTCTGCATTTCCGCATTCACATGCACAACATTGACTAACCCACGATAATTAATAAACTAGCGGAGTACTGCTAATTAGAGCGACTAAATTCCGTATGCACAGCATACAGCATTTACAAATGAGCTATAATCACAGTCTAAATTCAATTTGTGCATTAGTGAGTTATCTAAATGCTTTTAGCAGTATTTATTTGGTGCGTCTAGTTGGTAATTAAGTGCGCCAACTTTTTTTCTAAATCTATAAAGATGCTAATGAATTTGCATGAATTGTTTTACCAAAAAAGTAATCAGTTTAGTTTGTATTAGTTTGCACCATAACTCTAATTCCAATTATAAATATGACATTTGTATTAATTAATATCATAAAACAAGAATTTGTGAAAAAAAACCTTGAGTTTTTTTTGCAAGATAATAAGCCTAATAACTCTAAATGTGGTTAATAAACATGTCTAAAATCTGTCTGGGAGCACTTTACTTTAAGGGGATGTTCATAAGACACCTTTATAATCATGACATGACACATTTCATGAATGTGAAGTAGACTTAACATGTCATGAAGTGTCATTTACTCGGTTATGTCATTTTAAATGCATATATGACATTGTTTAAGATGTCTATGACAACTTGGCATTAGAAAAACAACATTGCTTGTCATAAATCTGTCATAAACATGATTATGTGGCCATTTATTGTGTGTCATGAATGTTTTCCTGATCACTTTTTGGACAAAATGAATGAATCGCCTATTGACTATCATGTTTATGACAGATTTATGACAAGCTGCCTCGTCTTGGTAATGCCAAGTTGCCGTAAAGTCAATTTATGATGTATTTGTTTATATCAAGTTCTCTTATCTCAAGTTATATAAGTAATCTTAAACAGTGTCATCCCGGCATTTAAAATGGCATAACTGAGCAATTGAAAATTAACAGTTGTCATGAGTGTGCATAAAATCTCATGTGTAACATCATGATTATAAAGCTGTCATGACAGTCTTATGTACACCCCCCTTCACGTAAACTTATTTTAATCTATGTTAAAGTCCAACTAACTATGTAACATGGAGCAATTGATTTCAGGCTGTGCGCAAGATAGTAAGACTTTAGATAACTCTAAATGTGGTAAATAAATATGTCTAAAATTTGTCTGGAAGCACTTTACTTGAAGGGTGTGTTCATAAGACTGTCATGACACCTTTATGATCATGATATGACACATTTTATGAATGTGAAGTAGACTTA